GCTGGAGGGGAGTGTGGAGCGGACAAGGGAGTCACAGAGAGAGTGGTCCCTCCGGAAAGCAGATAAGGGTGGGGAGGGAAAAATGTCTTTGGTGGTGGGGTCGGATTGCAGATGGCGGAAGTGTCGGAGGATGATGCGTTGGATCCGGAGGTTGGTGGGGTGGTACGTGAGGACGAGGGGGATTCTTTTTTGGTTGTTATTGCGGGGAGGGGGTGTGAGGGATGAGTTGCGGGAAATGCGGGAGACACAGTGGAGGGTGTTCTCGACCACTGAGGGGGGGAAGTTGCGGTCCTTGAAAAACGAGGACATCTGAGATGTATGGGAGTGGAATGCCTCATCCTGGGAGCAGATGCGGCGGAGGCGAAGGAATTAGGAATAGGAGATGGCATTTTTGCAGGAAGGTGGGTGGGAGGAGGTGTATTCTAGATAGCTGTGGGAGTCGGTGGGCTTGAAATGGATATTGGTTTCTCGGTGGTTGCCCGAGATGGAGACAGAGAGGTCCAGGAAGGTGAGAGAGGTATTAGAGATGGTCCAGGTAAACTTAAGGTTGGGCTGGAAGGTGTTGGTGAGGTGTATGAACTGTTCGAGCTCCTTGTGGGAGCACGAGGCGGCGCCGATACAGTCATCAATGTAACGGAGGAAGAGGTGGGGTTTAGGACCAGTGTAGGTACGGAAGAGGGATTGTTCCACGTAACCTACAAAGAGGCAGGCATATGCTTCCTGGACTTTGGCTGATGCAGAGCACAAATACGCCCGGTTAGAGAAGGAAAGTTTGGTGGTCATATTTGGTGTGAGAAACATCCATCAGTACCTTTACAGGTGTAAATTTGTAATAGTAACAGACCACAAACCCCTGCTAGGGTCACTCAAAGAGGACAAAGCTGTGCCATCCATAGCTTCAGGTCGAATTCAGCAGTGGCCTCTCATTCTAAGTGCGTACAATTATAAATTGGAATGCTGTTCGGGTGGCTAAGTAGTAAATGTGGATGCCTTGAGCCTCTAGCTGATACATCACCAGTGGTGCTGCCACTGGAAGGATCTATTCGGCTTTAAACTTTCTAGCCGCTCTTTTGGTCATCACTGACAACCTCAGACCATAGATGCAATAAGATTTGATCCTGGCAAAACTAAAACAGCTGGTGGTGATGGGGGCAAACAAAAGGCCCATCACAACCGGAATTGAAACCTTTTGGACCCAGAGAGACCAGATCTCTGCAGAGGGTGGCATTTTATTATGGAGAGCAAAAGTGATTGTCCCAAGCAAAAGTCACCACCAGATAGTGGCTGAATTCCATCAGGGTCATCCAGGGGTTTCCAAAATGAAGATGTTGGTGAGAAGTTATGTCTGGTGGCCAGGATTGGATGCTCACGTAGCCAGGTTGGTGGGGCTGTGCCCAGAGTGCCAACAAGGACAAAAATGACCTCTAGCAGCTCCCTGACATTTGTGGGAATTGGTGGATAAAT